TTTGCAATGGCAATAATTCCGCAACATCGAATCATAGAGTTGGAAGAGACCACATGGGCCATCCAGTCCAACCCCCTGCCAAGAAGCAGGAAAATCGCGTTCAAAGCACCCCAACAGATGGCCATCCAGCCTCTGTTTAAAAGCCTCCAAAGAAGGAGCCTTCACCACACTCCAGGGCAGAGAGTTCCACTTCTGAATGGCTCTCACAGTCAGGAAGTTCTTCCTAATGGTCAGGTGGAATCTCCTTTCCTGTAGTTTGAAGCCATTGTTCCGCGTCCTGGTCTCCAGGACAGCAGAAAACAAGCTTGCTCCCTCCTCCCTATGACTTCCCCTCACATATTTATACATGGCTATCATGTCTCCCCTCAGTCTTCTCTTCTGTGGGCTAAACATTCCTACATAAGTAGGAAAAAATTTAATTCAGGGATTTTTTCCATCTAGAAAAAAATACTTTTAAAGCCATCTCCCATGTGACAACTGAAGAGTAACAACATCATGCATTAAGCCATCACCAAAAACACTTTTACCCTTTTTTTTTTTTTGTCGTGTCAGGAGCAACTGCTCCTGTTGTGAGAGAATTGGCTGTCTGCAAGGACGTTGCCCAGGGATGATAAAACATCAAAAATCATCCAGGCGTCCCCTGGGCAACATCCTTGCAGACGGCCAATTCTCTCACAACAGGAGCGGTTGCTCCTGACACGACAAATATATATATATATATTACCCTGATGCAGTTCTGCTTTGCATGTCTTGTGTGAGAAGGCCCCCAGAAAGAGCAAGTCATGCGGGTGAACTAAAAGTATCCATTTTACTTTTGGAACAAAAAACAGAATTAACAACTTGGGCTACGTAATCTCTTCAAAGAACCAGTGCTATTCTAGATTTTGGTAAAGCAAAAACAACTCATTTAACTGCATTTATTTAACTGCATTTATTTCCTTTCTTTCCAAACAGACTGTTGGGTTTTATGGAAAAGACCAATGTAAACTGCCAGTCATACAGTATATTTTTTCACCATTTCCTGGTTGTGGTAGTACAGTTGTATCCATATTTTTCACAGAGGTAGCATATGCAAAATGCCTGTAAATATGCTGTCCATTATATTTTGCTTCCTTGAAAGAAGAAAAAAGATGTATGGAAACACGATCTATGCGACTTCATTATATCTATGTGCATACATTACTGAGATAAAATAAACTAGCGTAATCTCTTTTATTGGACTAAGACCAGGCAGCTGAACACACTTTTAAGTTTCAAAGTTCTTTGTGGGGCAAAAGGATAAGGAAGGATTAAACAACAGTAGACAGGTCCTGAACTTGCTAAAGACTCTTTAATGCAACTGTGCTCAATTTGTTGACTTGAGATCTTGAGGCACCCAAATTGGAGCCAGCAAACATAACAAAGATAGTTTCCCAACATGGTGAGGAGGAGGTGTGCAGCAGTCCCAGACAGAAGGCTTTTTGGAACATTCAGATAATTAAAAAGACGAGACTGAGAGGGGTATTCTATGAATCCCCAAACAATTTTCCAAGCTCTGAAATAGAACAATTTCTCTATCCTGTAGAGCAGTGTTTCTCAACCTGGGGGTCACGAGGGGAGTTTCAGAGGGATCATAGAATCATAGAATCAAAGAGTTGGAAGAGACCTCATGGGTCATCCAGTCCAACCCCCTGCCAAGAAGCAGGAATATTGCATTCAAATCACCCCTGACAGATGGCCATCCAGCCTCTGTTTAAAAGCTTCCAAAGAAGGAACCTCCACCACACTCTGGGGCAGAGAGTTCCACTGCTGAATGGCTCTCACAGTCAGGAAGTTCTTCCTCATGTTCAGGTGGAATCACCTCTCTTGTAGTTTGAAGCCATTGTTCCGTGTCCTAGTCTCCAAGGAAGCAGAAAACAAGCTTGCTCCCTCCTCCCTGTGGCTTCCTCTCATATAGGTCATCAGAAAACACATATTTCTGATGGTCTTGTGAACCCATTTGGAAGAGAAGGCTGAAGATCTCTCTGCCTATCCTTGTCTTCCTTTTTGGAAACAGACAGCGAATCCAAAAGCCCTCCTCCTGCTATGATTGTAGGTGAACAATAAATCCCAGCAACTACAACTCCCAAAAGTCAAGGTCTACTTTCCCCAAACTCCACCAGTGTTCACATTTGGGCATATTGAGTATTTGTGCCAAGCTTGGTCCAGATCCTTCATTGTTTGAGTCCACAGTAGAACTACAGGTGAACTACAACTCAAGGTAAATGCCCACCAAACCCTTCCAGTATTTTCTGTTGGTCATGGGAGTTCTGTGTACCAAGATTAGTTCAATTCCATAGTTGGTGGAGTTCAGAATGCTCTTTAATTGTAGGTGAACTATAAATCTTAGCAACTACAACTCTGAAATGACAAAATCAATCCCCCTCAACTACACCAGTATTCAAATGTGGGTGTATGGGATATTACATTACGATTCACAACAGTAGCAAAATTACAATTATGAATTAGCAATGAAAATAATTTTATGTTTGGAGGTCACCACAACATGGGGAATTGTATTAAGGAGTCACGGCATTAGGAAGGTTAAGAACTACTGTTATAGAGTAAAACAAAATGCAGTATACTGAAAAGGGAAGACATTTCAGAGATTACATGTGCAAAGTAGCATATACAGTATATTAAATATATATCAAGTATATAAGAATAATTTTGTGAAAGAGAATTGGTATCTAGTGTCTTCTGTTAGTGGGCCAGTGAATTAGCTCCAAGTTTCACTTCAGACTTTAAAGGAGCTAGACACTGTACTTAGCATGTCTCCTGCAGAATTCTGGGGCTTGTAGTTTAGTGAGACTCAGAATCTCTCTAGCTGAGCATTTTAAAAGCCCCTTCTCTAAACTACAAGCCCCAGAATTCTGCAAGAGGCAGCCACAAGATTTCAGATGGAATGCATACCCTTTGCCTACTGTTTCAACTCTATTGTGACACTGCTCCCAGTTTGAGAATGCTACCAAGTACCTTGAATAGTTTTCTTAATGTCTGGAGTAAAGCTTGGAGTGAATTTACCAGCTTCCTCTTTTTTAAAAAATAAAATGCATTTAGATGAGGAAGGATATACTGTCCAATGGAAGTGTGGGATATCAGTAACTTTATTAGAAACCACATACTAGAAAAACAAGCCATGGAAAACTGCATGTTATGATATATGACCAATTTCATGTTGCAGTTTCTTCAGCAAAGTTAGTTTAATATTTTAAGCAAAAGAAGCTCTGTGTCGTTTTTCAAAAGTAACAATGCATTAGCTTGCTGGTTGGATTCTTGGTGTTAGTTTCTTTAATGATTTTATGGTGTTTTCGCTGTTAGATTTAAGGGTTTTTCTACTGTTGCACTGTAAACTATCAGGAGTGTCCTTGAATTAGACAGTGGGGTACCAGATTTTAGAAATAATTAGATGAACTCATTTTGAAAAAAATATATAATTATAATTTGAGTCATTTTTTTCAAATGAGAGCTATAATGCCACTTAAACTGGTGTAGGTGAGTATGCATTAGAGAGAGAAGCTACAAATATATCTGTTTTAGCTTGCTCCAGTTCTTTGTTAAACTCATGCATATATTAACAAGTTTTAGTAAATTCACTTGATCAGCACAGGGAAGGGAATGAGTTGTCCCCATGTTGCTGCCACCATTCTTTGCAGCCATGGAGCTCCCCAGAAGAATCCGACAGTTGTGGTTGCATGTACTGAGGTTGGAACATGATGTTCAAACAGCCAGCAAGAAAGAGAGGATTGCTCTATCCCTCCCTTTCTGGCCACACAGGTGCACTGTTATGGCCTCAGCAGATGCAACCACAACATCCAAGCACTCACAGGCACTCTTGGCCAATGGGGGCAATGGCAGTGACAGGGATCACAAGGGGATGGCCCAATGGGGACAGTACAATCTTGGCCTAGCTGAACCATTTGGACAATAATGCAGTGCTGCAGAAGACTTGGCCCATTTCATTTGGTCACCATCACAGTCAATCCAGGACCAAACCCAAGCATAACACCTTGAACTGATCCCAGATTATGTGGTTAGTGTGGATGAGGCCAGTATTTGTGCACAACACTTGCATATTAGAACGGCATGTACACAGAAAATTTTGTTTTCTGTTTTAAAAAGTATAAAGTTAGCAGAGAATAAGTCCTCATCTACAAATTGGAAAAATGTGTGAACATTGCTTCTTGATCCCTTTGAGAATGAATTTAGTCAAGAATTACAGCCCACGTTTGCTTAATATCAACAGACCACTCACACTAACCTTCCTTCTTTTCACCTTTCCCATTCATTCCCACATAAAACATTGAGCAGACCTTTTGTTTTAAGTAACCAGGAGACAATACTTGAGGAGGCCAACATCCTGTATGAATAATTGAAACTGTGTAACAAGCCACCTCCTTGAAGTCTTATAAGGAGTCAGGATCATGGTCAGTTCCTGTAGAACTGTCTTCCTTCTCCCTCTGCCAAAACCCCACTCCTTTTCCTCTCTGGTTAATTTGTAATTATTAACACTTCACCAGACCTCATCTGATCTTGGAAGCTAAGCAGGGTGAGCCATAGACAGTCCTTTGATGGGAGACCATGAGTGAATACTAGGTGCTGTAGGCTATATTTCAGAAGAAGTTAGTGGCAAAATGTCAAAAGTATTTCTCACCTAAGAAAACCCTGTAAAATTCATGAGGTTGCCATACGTCAACAGGTGCCTCAAAGGCACATAATACACACAAAAGCTACTATGATCACTTTCTTGAACCCAAAAGGGTGTGTGAAACCTAATACTTACCAGTTTTTTTAAAAAAAATTGAGTTAGTGTTCGAATATGTGTTCCTGTGCTTGAGTAATAATTTCCTCTCTGATGAGAAGCTTGTTCAACAGGTTTCATTTGTGTGTGTGTGTGTGTGTGTGTGTGCGTCCTTTCCTCCTGCCTAGTTTGTGGGTTGAGAAGAAGGATGTGTCTTCCCTGGGTTTCCCCCTCCCTTTGCCTTACTTGTTTCATCAGAGTAAAAGGCCAGGCAACAGCACCACCGGTTCAAACTCGCTCAGGTTAGTTTGTGGGAGAGCAGAGCAAAGAGGAGAGAGCTGTTTCCCATTTGGATTCTGAAGTTGCAAAGCAGTGTACTCTGACAAGCAAGAGGGAGGAGGGAAAGGCAGGAAAAGCTTGGAGTGAGTCGTGTTCAAACATTGCTGGGACTAGTGGGAGGGGAAGAAAGGAGTCGGCAAGCTAGACAGACAGGAGTGCTTCCAATGGTGCTAATGACTGATCTACAGCATGATGGGGAAGAACTGAAGCCTGTCAGGGTGACCAGCAGAAAAGAAAAACCTGCCTTAATCCTGTAAGTATCCTGCCTAGCAATATATGGCGTACAAGAGCTCTCTGCTCATCTGTTGTCACAGAAAGGCTTTGTAACTGAGAAAACTTCCTGAAAAGTTTGTCAGTGACTCTGCTGCTTGACTGCCATGAAAATCATATTCTGTCTTTGTAAGAACAGTATAAACCAAAGTGGTAGAGCTCTGATGCTCATGAAGAGGAGTGTGTTGCTTGATTTAATGCATGACTCAGGTCATCAATATAAGGTGTTGTTTTTTTTTCATTTACAGTCCCATCTGACTATTTGTGTAATTCAAACGGTTGAAGATAAAGGTGTGCTTGTTTATGAGAGAATGGTTTTGTAATCTGTCAGTATAATAAAATTGGTGACAGTTCCTGTGGAAAAGGTGCAATACCATGGATGGTGTGATGGGTGGTGTGATCAGTCATGCTGAAAGGTGTAATTGTCTGCCTGCGTTTCTAATGGGATGTGCGTAATGCTGCTCTTATGCAAACTTTTGGTTCAGTCTCATTCTCACAGGTGTGTACATAAATCAGTAACTGACACTCAATAGTTCTGCACTGAGTGTTTGGACCAGCTCTGTTAATGTTGCATATGCAGTGATGCCAATTGTTGAAGAAAAGCTGACTGGTTCTTGATTTTTTTATCTCTTTCACACTGCAAGTTTAAGTTAGTAATGCAGCTGAGAAATGAATAAGCACTCATGTCTTCTCTGTTAATCTATTGTCTACAGATGTCTATATAAATCAACAAGTTAGAACAGACTCCTTAGTAGATCTCATTGTGGCATTTGATCAAGCTACAACAAGCTATATGGCTATTTTAAAGCTTTATGATGGATTTACAATCGTTTGATAACTTTGTCCTTTTTTTGGTAAGTTCCAATATTGAAAATAGTTCCCACCTCTCTACCCTGATTTTGAGCAGCCCAATCTTATGCCTAATTAGAATTGTGAGAGGTACTAAAAAGCATGCTGCTAAAACAGTGTTTCTCAACCTGGGGGTCACAAGAGGGTGCCAGAGACGTCATCGAAGACCATCAGGAAACACAGTATTTCCTATTGGTCATGGGAGTTCTGTGTGGGAAGTTTGGCCCAATATATTGTCAGCAGGGTTCAGAATGTTCTTTGATTTTAGGTGAACCATAAATCCCAGGAGCTACAAATCCCTAATGTTGAGGTCTATTTCCCATTGTTGGTGAAGTTTAAAATGCTCTTTTATTGTAAGTTAACTATAAATGACAGCAACTACAACTCCCAAATAACAAAACCAATTCCCCCCTCCCAATCCCACCAGTATTCAAATTTGGGCATGTCGGGTATTTGTGCCAAATTTGGTCCAGTGAATGAAAATACATCCTGCATGTCAGATATTTACATTACAATTCATAAGAGTAGCATAATTACAGTTATGAAGTAGCAATGAACATAATTTTATGGTTGGGGGTCATCACAACATGAAGAATTGTATTAAGGGGCCGCGGCATTAGGAAGGTTGAGAACCACTGTGCTAAAGTTTGTACCTGCTATATCACATCCAATGAAAGCAAAGTAGAACAGGCCTGGACATTTGGACTCCCTAAAAAGGGGGATAGTTACTTTGCAATAGTTCAAGGTGACAAAAGGTTCTGGAAGCTCAATTGCTCAAAAGATCAACCTTGTGATGCTACTTAATTTCAACTAGCTTGAAGATACAAGGAAGGGAGAGGGGAAAATATCTTGGATTGGCAATTGAATGTGTTTGAGCATTCATTCTTCAAAATATTTTGTAATAAGCATTAGGGTGAGGGGGGTATTTAAAGTTTCTAATATCACCCCTGACACCTCCTAAACTTTAATCAAATCATGTTCCCCAATTCTAAAAAATGATAGCTAAGAATTTCTCAAACTATGATAGAACTAGCTCACCACTTAGTTTCCCATACTTCAAGCACTGAACACAGAAGCTGGAGTAAATAAAGCAAGGAAGACCACAAACCACAAATATTGAATGAATCCAAAAGAGTGATCAAGAGAAGGTATGGGACAAAAGAGATGAATCAAATCATAATTTTAGAAAAGCAAGGGAGTGTCATAAGCAAGGGGTACTAGGGTTTAAACCAGGATAGAAATTGTACAATCATCCAGGTATTTTTGGACTATAGCTGCTAGCAATCCTATCTAAAATAGACTGAGAATATTTTGAAATATGGATGTTGAACCTGACAGCAGATATGGTGTTCATAGAGGCAGTCATACTTGTCACTTTCTACAATTTTCTCTTTTCCTTCATCAAATTCAGGGATATGCCTGAATGATAGTGCCAGCAAAAGAGTCAGAATATTCATAGCATACTGGTCGGCCTGTCAGCTGCTTTCCCTACTCACTCTTGTCATCCTTGCCTTCCTCTCTAGATAAAATCTGTCACGCAGAAAGCTTTCACTTCTCTGCAAAAGGCCCTAAAGAGTATAAATGCATAACATATTTGGCTTAGGCAAGTCACCATATAAAAGTCTGTCACTTGAAGGTCAATTTCACTCTGTGAATGTGGAGGACTAAATAGTATCCCTTAAATTTAGTCATTTGTCCTGCTGTTGTGATGTAACTTATGGTCAATTAAGTTCAGTTGCCACCTCTGTATCCAGTCCAGATGAAGTTATAGCCTGAGGTAGAGAGAGGCAAGCTTTTAAACTCTAAAGTACAACAAATCATGCTTTTTGCTCTGGAGATCACTAGTTTCATTCCAAGGGTCATTTGAAGTGGCAGGTGTTTGCTTGCTCACAATATTCCTCTTTTTTTTTCCTGGCAGGTTGTGCAGTAAACCACATACACAACTAAACTTTTATATCATCATGGAACTATGCTCAGACACAAACACACACCTTTTGATCATGTTGTTAATGACTTAAATGTGGTTTGATCAGCTGGTGGTTCATTCCAGATCAACTGGTACTTCAGGTGAACTTACCCTGGATTTTAGACTGAACTTTACAGAAGTAACTCAAGGATAAATCCTACTCCTAAAGTAGATAAGCATGTTGTTCAACTCCTTCAAGGTTTGTTCTAAACCTTTGTCTCACCACTTCAATAGGAATAACTAGCAACCAGGCATTTTGTCAGGGAATTGGGCTGGATGGCCTTGTGGTCTCTTCCAACTCTATGATTCTATTATTCTACAATTATGTTTGGTGATGCTCAGCTTGACACTTTGTTAAAGAAACTGAGAAACATTTGCCACGATGCAGGGGGTATACTGGATAAATGGTACCTAATAGGATATACTCAAGATAAAAACCATCAGTATTCAGTCTGTAATTCTTTATATACTTTGTTGCCATTAGATGTTGTCAACTAACGGAGTCTTGTGGAGTCAAAGCGGGATTCATTCTATGAATGAGAGGAATTCAGTCATGAGTTACTTGAATGATTCAATCAATCTGTAGTGCTATCTCCCTCTTTTCCTACTGCCTTCCACCTTATCAAACTTAGGCCATTTCCATACAGCTGAATAAAATCCCACATTATCTGCTTTGAACTGGAATATACGGCAGTGTGGACTCAGATAACCCAGATCAAAGCAGAGATTGTGGGATTTTCTGCCTTTATTTTCTGGGTTATATGGCAGTGTGGAAGGACCCCAAGTAACCTTTTCTAATGAGTTACATTTTCCCACGATATGTCCAAACTGTGGCAGACTCAGTTTAGTAAACTTTGTTTCTACTGAAAGTTCAGGCCTGACTTACTCTAAGATCCATTTATTTTTCTTTTTAGTAGTCTGTGGTATCCACAGAACTCTCCCCCAGTGCCAAGTTCTGTTTCAGTGGAGGGGTCTTGAAGGCAGTATTGCCTTAAAGGATGCCTGTTTAAAAGGTGTGCTGGTATCCTTAAAATGGGAGAACCCATTGCCTGCCCATATGGTGGGAATTAAGTGGATAAGAGTTAGAAGCTGGAGGAGGTGATCTTGGTGTGATGGAAGTGAGTGCATTTTTTGCCTTCTTTAAAGACAGAACCACATAAAACTGCACTCCCCCCCCCCCCACTTTCCCTCATTTTGTCCAACTCAATATGATGGAGTCCTATAATCAGGATCTTATTTAGTTCCCACATAGCTGACGTTCGAAATATGAGGCCCCATCTACACTGCCATATAATGTAATTTGAAAGTCATTATATGGTCAGCATAAACTTATATAATGCAGATTAAACTGCACTGAGCTGGATTATATGAGTCTACACTGCGATATAATCCAGTTCAATGCAGTTGACCTGCATTCTGAAACTCTGTTATATGGTAGTATAAATGGGGTCTGTGTCTTCTTCTGTTTCTCCATATTGTGTCCTGACTGTGGCCTCTTGTGCTGAGCACATTATCAGGACAATCAGATTTTGTGGCACACACATTTCTTGTAAAGCAAACCATATTTTTGAGATCTACACAGTCAAAGACTTTAATTTATAAAGCACAGCTGGATTACTTTTTGAATTTTGAGGGGCAGACTGTTATGCCTAGAGACTCATTCTTTTCTGAACTCAGCTTGTACATCTGTGTATCTTGTTCCATATATGATAAAATTCTTTATTATAGAGTCTTGAGAATCGCAGTGCTTGCATGGGAGATCAATGAAATAATTGAATTAGTGTATTTCTGGTGTCTCCTTTCTTGGGAACTTTCTGTGGTAAGTTATTTTGTTTTCTGCATTTGTTCACAATCTTTTTGTTAGAATTTGAATAGATTCCATCTTTATAGTTGGAAATAGTTCTGGAGATATGCCATCTGTCCCTGATTATTTATTTCTCCCAGGTGGTTTGACAGGGTTTTCCATATGGTTATAAGCCACAGTGAATTCAATATATTTTGAGTAGACATACACAGTAAATTACATTTTAAATTCTCTCTTTAGCATAGTGTAACTAACAATTTATGCTTTTAGTCAGAAATATTTATAAGCAGTATGATGGGCTAAAATATATTTAAGAGCATCCTTCCCTATATCAAGGCTCACCATGGCATGAGTACAACATGTG